ATGTATTTGGGATTAATAGCACTAATAAATAGTATATTAAAACAAAGGATATTCCTGTTATAGGTGGTGGAGATCATATATTATTTCCTTAATAATATATAAAATAAAAATGTATCCTTGTGAATAAGAATGCTTCAAATGTGAATTTATTAAGGAAGAAATGGAATAGTGAGTTTGTAGTTGAGTAATCTATTGACTTTGCAACTAATCTTATTTTTGGATATATGACTGATGATGGACAGTATTTGATTACTTGGGATGATAAATCAAAAGAATATTAGATAAGAAAATATTAGGAATAATGAATTTGAAGATTAATATATAAAAAGCATACATTTAGTTTTATTTCTTTATCCGGATAATTTCTCAAATATATAATATATCTTAATCCTTAGTTATTTTGTTCTTCCAATGATTTGTGCAAATTTGAAAATTTAATTTATATTGATAATTAAACTTATTTTTATTATTTAATGCTTTTTGAAAGTTATTTTTGATATCTAAGGTTTAACCAAAGAGTGATTAAAAAATGAAGAAGAAACTTTCCCAATATCAAAATTATTTTTATCTTAATTAAATTCAATCATCATTTTCGATTATTAAAATACATAATTGAGTATGAAAAAATAATATATGAAATTAAATATCAACATATGATAGGCTTCAAATACCTAAAATTTTACTTTAGCTTTAATATATCAGAATTTAAGATTTTAGAATCAAATGTTTATTTATCACTATGTTAGTTTAATATTAATTCTCTTTAGAAAAGTCTTTAAGAGATTTACAATTTTTATATTTTTACACTAAAGAAATGTAAAATCAATTACTCATAAAGTAAAGTAGAATGAATGGTTTTATAAATCTGCTTTGTTTATCATTTGATTTGCTTATTTAATCCTTCTTTAATTTAAATTATCAATCCTCAAATATTCTAAAATCTATCATCTAGACTGAGAATCTATTTGCTAAAGTTCAATAAGAATAGAATTACGTGTAATTGTAACTAATTTGCATTTTCACATTTTTAAAGGAAAATTAGAAATCTTTTTAATATTTTAAGGGATTACAAATTAGTTTTCTTTGAAGAGATGTATTAAGAAAACCTTCAAGAAGAATTTTTCAACTTCATCTAATTTTTTTTTTATTGGAACAGTGTTTAGGAAATTTAACTTTAACAACGAAATAAAGCAGCACATAGAATTTCTAAACTATTATGTTAATAGAAAATAAAACTTTAGGTTTTATGATTATTTTAAGAAGGAATGACAATTAGGTTAATTTATTAGTTGAAAATATTAGTGATTATGAATGCACTCAACAGCTCTTTAATTGAAAGATTACTTAAAGAAGTTTGTTGCAATTTCATAGTTCTTAAGTAGATTGCCTACTATATCACATGATTGGAAATAAAGGTATATGACTTTGTTTGGTTGTTTTATTAACAGAAAATTTTGCATACAAATTCTTGGTATTCTCTTTACCAAAATTAATCGTCAATATGGATATTGTTTAAATCATTTCATACTTAAATATCTACTTGTTTAGCAAAAATATTAAAGAAAAATTGATGTGAGATTTTTGATTCCCTCAATTCGAAGGCCATTACAAGGTGTTTAAAACTTAATATTCTTGCTGATATATTACTAAAAATGAGTAATACTCTTATCTTAGATACTTATTTTCAT